TATTTGAAGAATGGAAAGGATTGAATCCGTCGTCATGTATTAGATTTCGATAATTATCATTTCACCTATTCAAATCCAATTTTTGGTAAGTCGAATTATGCCCTTGTTTGAGCCACATTTTATCAAAAATTCATTTTTTTTTTCAAAACTCATTTTCAACAATACATTCCCTAATAAAATGATATTACACGTAAATCGAAACTTTTTTCTTCATTTTTAACCACATGTTCTCTGAAAATCAATATTCAAAAAATGCATTTTTCCCCTCAAAATGGGGCTCAAACAAGGTCCATGTTTCGTTTTCACACAAATAAGCAGTACGTTTTGTGAATACGATACACGCATATTTATTGGTGTAATATCCCCAACAAAAGTTACCCAATCCAAAAAAGCTCGGAGCTAAATAGGTGAAAAGGAAACTCGGTTTAGCCGTTGAACCAATAACCCATTTTTACATTCAGGTTAAGGTTGGAGTCTGAATCTAAAAACTGTGCTTCATGTACTCTTAACAAAATGTTGGTGAACCTAGATTATAGCACTTTTTTGTTTCTAGGTAGAAGAAATCGAACTATTGCTTTTCCACAAACCCAAATTTTTATTGCATTCATCTTACACTAACATGACATTTCGCTGTAGCATACAGTACAATAAACATAATTAAGAAATATATTTGACAGGATCAGCAAACCGTGCTCCATGTACTCTAATCAAAACTTGGGTGAACCTAAATTTACAGATATGTACAATAGGCAGTAATGCACAGCAAACAGAAATATCAAAAAGAATCAAGCAAAAGCTTTCAAAAATGTCAGCCACTGGTTTTGAACAGAAATATATAAAAGCAGCTGCTCTGGCTTCAGGAACGTTTAACCTTGTAGATAAACACTGTTGATCCCGAAAAATGTACCTCCCACGCAGTCAACAACTAATAAATCTAAGTAGGCTTCTTCCTGTGCAGTGCGCATTGAAACACACCATTAGGCTACTCGTGACCNTGCAAGCATAAAATTTGTATGGAAAGAAAATAAATTTTAAGCAATTCAATTACCTAGAACTATTTGTATAAAAATTATTAATTAAATGAGCTTGATTGATTTAGTTTTCAACCTTAAAAATATTATATTTGTCCATTTTTTATTGGTCGGTAAATGAGGGAAATGATAGATGAAACAGAGAAAGACAGATCACCATCCCCTAAAGAAAATGTTTTCCTTATTTTTGAAGAAAATATGATCATAAGACCAAAAAATAGAAAATATTTTTCATGGAAAAAATTATCAATCAAACACCCAAAAGTTATAACTTGGGTGAAAAATGACATTTTCTACGAAAAAGAGTCAATCAAGCACATTCTAATTGTGAGTATATATAGGTAAATAGGTAAATTTGGAATTGTTAGATGAAGTGATGCATGGTCTCATCAGCTGGCTGAAGTGTCTCATGTGTCAATCAGTCACTTCTTAGGTGGGCGGGAATCTATTTCCTTTCTGACAAGTAGATTAATGACATAACTCTTTGGTATCTGCTGCACAAACGTTACATCAACAAATCGTACAAAGATTCGTATAAAAGATCTCCTGGTTAATAAAGACAAGGAGACGTGATTATCCCAGCAGCAGGTATTGTTTCCCGTTATACCACTTTGTCGTACATCACTTCGCTGCATATCACTTTGACTCCTCGGTCGATTGACGAACATATTCATGGACCACTTCACCTCGGTGGTGTGGGGGTCATGAGGAGTGCAGACCTTGTTGATGCGCTTAGCTAGTTGCCACGTTGGCAATGATATGAAGCTTCTTCATGAGAGGCATAACAAACATAATAATATTGACGTTACAGAGCAGAAAAGTGACTTCATTTTACTCGTCCTAAGGAAAGTTGAATTTAAGATTAGTACACTAATAGTCGAAGGGCTCTGAGAACCAAAATACAATCCATTGCCGATTACCAAAAGTGTCTTCTCGTCCTCCTCACAACACACAACTTCAAGTTCTATAACCAAACTACTCTCGAGAAGAAAACCAGTCCAAATTTATCAAATCAACATCCTGATAACTCACACCCCAATGCACTTTTTCATCAAAATCAATTTCACTCCACAAGTAGTTCTACGCAGAAGGCCGAGACATATTAAGCAATGAAAGTTTGAATAAATTTACAAAATGATGATACTGCTGTGCAGGAAGTATAAGTTCATAGAAAAAAAACCATTCAATAACTCTGCAACACAGTCGAATAGCTCAGCCAACAAAAGTTATACTTGGAAACTATATGAAGCACAGAAAACAAACACTACTATTGTATCCTGTGAGAACTTCGTTCCATCAAGTCAGCGTGACAAATAAAAGCCATGGTCTGAATCAGTGAGATGATCAGGCCATACAGTGTCGAACGAAGCTCAAGGCATATGAAACTAAATGCTGAGCTTCAGGATAAATAATCCATGAAAATCAAATAGCCAAAAATAATAGAAAATGATCGTATCAAACAGACATCTACAAGACACCGAGGCAGCAAGTTCAGCAGAAAAACAGCTCACCTGAAAGGTGTTAGAACTCAACACCAATGCACTAATCATCTCATATTAAAACGAGGAAGTTCCAATATGTTAGTGAAATGCTTTGTTTCAAGTTCCAAGATAGCTTCACCAATGAAGTCGATAAAAGACATATATCCTTTCAAGACACCTATCCAAGATATCTACCCTCTTTTCCCTTTTATAGAAATTGTCAAGCCATCCCTCCAAGGTAATTAGTAGTAATCCATGTATTGCTCATTGTTCAAATTTCGAACTTAAAATACAAAGTTAACTTGATAGTCAAAGTCTAACCACCATCTCCAATAATTTCCAGCACAGTAGACTAACTCGCATCTGTTTTGTGGGGTTTTATGTTTACAAAGAAACATCAAACCAATATGCAGAATCATTGACATCAACACCCACTATGTTCAGAGAGAGTTTTCCCAACAATTTCAAATGTCAAACAATTTTGGTGACGTATTTGGGAAACAACATAACAGCATAAAACCTACCTTTTAAAATCTGTTATACTGCAACACCCATTGTTCATCAAACACACGAACCAAAACAACTGCAAATCTGCAATACCACTGTTCATGACTCGATATGCTGCAGAAGAAACTAAGCGACAATCAAAATGTCTGATACTAAAGCCAATTCCTATGACTAAGAAAGCTCTTGATTGAGCAAAGCCACAAGTAAGGACCTTCATATCCTAAGAACATTCAGGGCTGAATGAGCTTGCAGAAGTGAGACCTCACTTGAATACTGAACTCCAGAGAAAGGAGTCTGCATTCAGTTTGTTACATTTGGGGTTTCCATCCCAACCAGCACTGCATCGATGAAGCAGATACACTTGGACTCTACTCCAAAGAGGTCAAACACTTTGATGGGCTCAAAACCCGGGGAAAGAGTTAAAGATAGGGTAGACAGGTCATTCTGGTTAAGAAAAAAAGTTGAGTATAACCATATTTCATTATGTAGTCAAAAAATGGCTAATTAAGCTAGCCTTAGCAACAATGTAAATTCGCAGGACTCGGAAACAAAATCAAGAAAAATCAAATCTTTGTAAGAGACTGGAGTATAGCTTTAACTATTAATAACATAAAATGATAAGCAAGTCCTTTTCTAATTAGTTTACATTTTCTTTTTACTTATTTGCATCTACACTTTCAGCTCATGCTAGTAAGTTACAACAAAATCAATGCACAATAATCATAAAAATAAAGAGTCAAAAATTTCTGAATTCCGACCATTTTCAAATAAGCCACTTCCTCACCTTTTTCATCACTTGGACTTGATACTCACTCCTTCTCCACCAGCAATAATGACGGCAGTAGTCATATCCAAGAACAACCCATGCTCAACCACCCCTTCGAAAGCCGCGATTTCCTTCCCGGCTGCACCTGAATCCTTTATGGGCATCTTGAAATACAAGTCCACAATGTAATTCATGTTATCAGTCACATAAGGCTTTCCATCACCATCCAATCTCAGCTTTGCTTCGCACCCTTCTTCCTTGAACAACTCCTGCAACCTCACCAAATTGTAATTCCAACAGAATTGCACTACTTCCACAGGCATTGCCAGGCCCGACCCACCAAGGCCGTCCACCAGCTTCGAGTCGTCTACCACAACCACAAACTTATCCGAGGCGGCCTCGACCATCTTCTCACGCAAAAGGGCCCCACCACGGCCCTTAACCAGATCAAGATTCGGGTCGACTTCGTCTGCTCCGTCTATGGCCAAGTCCAGATGAGGGTGGGCATCGAGGGTTGACAATGGAATGTTAAGGCTAGCAGCTTGCTCCTGAGTCCGCTTCGACGTGGGCACACCCACAATATCAGTAAGCTCGCCAGACTTAATCAACTCGCCGATCTTGGCCACCACGAAGGCGGCGGTTGAGCCAGTACCCAACCCAAGAACCATACCACTCTTAACATATTCCACGGCTTTATCAGCAGCCAGTTTCTTGAGATCATCTTGGGCCAAGGCTGGTGAAGGAGTGGAGAGGGCTTTGATGACGAATTTAGAAGGATTCCGCAGGTTAAGGGATGAAGAGCCGAGATTAAGACGAGGGGTGGAGATGGCGGTGGCATTGCGGTGGTTAACGGAGGAGAGGGAGGTGGGAGAGAAGAGGGATAAGGTGGTTGCCATGGGAAAGCGAAAATGAGAGGTGGGTGTGGAATTTGGACTGAGCTCCTCTCTTGCCTGATCTTTCAATGAAGAGGATCGTTATTCTAATTCCTTAATTATTCGATTTGAATTTGGTAGTGAAAAAGTTAGATGACTAAAATGAAATAAAACTAAGTGTTATGACTAAAATAAAATTTGTCTAAACGTTAGAGGACCAAATTTGTTTATCATCCCTGAAAAGGGACTTTACGAATTTCCCTGCTATTTTCTGCATACAAATAGCTCAAATATATTTCTCCCTATCTATTCATTTTCTCCTGTTCTCTCTCCGTCATCAACCATGTCAGCCGAATCAGCCTCTGCCATTCAAAGAAGTCAGGTAACATTGATTCCTTATTGCTTGAAGTTCTTATGCATATTCTTTTTTCCACTTTTTTGCAGTTTTGACTTTTAATCTTGTAAATTTGACGATGATTCTGTGTGTGTAGGTTGATCTACTGGACTTTGTGAACTGGTCGGGTGTGGAATGTTTAAATCAAAGTAGCAGTAATTCTCTTTCGAATGCTCTCAAACAGGTGATTTTTAATAATTGAAAATATTGAATTCTCTTCTCACGATTAGGGTCTTTTCATTGTTTAATTGATTTATAAATAGAATGCTTATCCTATGTTTCTCTACCCTTTCTGAAATTAAGGGTTTCGAGCTTATTGACAAAACTGGGCTTCGAATGGAATAGAATACCCCAAAAAACGGGTTCTTGCAGTGCGTCCTGCTTTTTGTTTGAGCATCTATCTAACCGTGGATTTTAGAAGAACAATTTGACTTGGCGTCTAAAATGCATAAATAAAAGAAATAGGTATCCTAGTCCTAGTAAAAAGGTTGTTCTTAATTATTAGGTGTCAGGTGAAGGTATGTTATGCAACTATTCTGGAAGGAGCCTTCTAATCGCTGCATACTCGTTTTTCTAGATTTTGTAAAGTATTGTTTGCTAAATTGTGAGCATTACTTGATTGGAAGAATCTTAATGTTAACAGGACTATCACTCTTGTTTTGGCGCTGAGAACTTAGGCTATCAGCATCCATTTCCATCTAATTTCTAATATATAACATAGTTGTTTCTGTTGCAAATAAGAAAATAATAATATTATAATTATGAATTGATCAAGATCCCTACCATATTTTGTGAGTTCATGTAGACTCAACCAACAATTAAGCAGTTCCATGGCTTTTCCCTTTTTCTTATATTTGTTTCTTATCTCAAACTTCATAGGGACAAAACTGTGTAAGTCCCATTGAAGGAAATTGAGTTTTAAGGTGCTATATTGCAGTGTTTTAAGTAGAGGTCGCTCCACCAAGAAATTGTAATGGTGTTTGGAGCAGTATTGGGAGCACTGTCTCGTTGGTTGGGAAAGAGAAAAGAGGGCTGATAAGCCAATCAGGAGAGAATATCCATTCTATAGTAATCCAAGGAAACTATAAGCTCAAAACTGATGTGATACACAGAGACAATGGCAGAGTAGTGAATCAGTTGCTTGTTTGTTCTTCCAAGAGAAGAACACCAAAATTTAGAAAAAAGATCTTTGATGACCAAAGCAGGTATTGAATATGCTGACAAACCAGTCATGAACCTTTTAAACTGATGAAGGTTTGAAACCCTTGATGACTGTTCATAATTTAACTAATTTAGAATAAACGGGTTACACGTTTATATCATTTGGCATTTGGACTTAGTTAACAGTTTAGAGTTCAGTGATTAGGTCCTTATAAATTCTTTTAATCATTGATTTTAGTGTCAAAATGGTAAGAACTGATAATACCTCGATGTAGAATGGTGCCCAAAAAGTGGAACTAGATTTGTCACAAATTTGGACTAATTAAATTTTTTTAATGCGACATTTGCCGTTGCCAAACCAGGGTTGTTAAATTGGTCACAATTATACTACATCACAACTCACAATCTGTTTTACTTTTTACTGAAAACCCTTTTTGGGGGAATAATTGGAATGGTTAAATGTGGATACAACAGACATTAACAAACATCACAAGCTGTTTGGCATGATCTCCACATGAGCTCTGAACTGTTCAGGTCATTTTTTTCTTCTATGCTATTGGTATCTGCATTTAAATGCCAGATTTTCTAAAATATTCTTGTTAACTTGGTGGGAATTTTCTGTATTCTTCTATATCTAATTGAAGATGGGGACTGGAAGGAACTTGATGTTTTGAAAAGGATATGTAGGAAGAGTTTATGAGCTAGATTGGATTGTAGTCGTCCAAGGATCACTAAAATGTACATGAGATTCAAGATCAGTTTACTTTGTAAAGCAGATGATAGCGAATGAAGGGGAAACTTGAGTCTCAGGATGGATGTATTGAATTGAGAGACTCTGTGTCACTCCAATAGGGGGATTTCCTAGTTGAATTTCTATTTTCTATTCATTAATTAAGCATAAGCCTTTTTTATCATGATTTTACTTTTTGCCTTAGATCATGTTATCATTTTGTTCGGAAAGAATCATTACTCTTTCTATCATCATTTTTTTTTTTCCATTTCTTTTACCATTTCCTTTCGGGTAGTAGTTGGGTTTGGATCCTGTTGCATCATTATTATCTTCTAATTCATTCCTTTTGTTATTGAATAAGGGTTACAGAGAAGATGAGAGTTTGAATTTGGAAAGCGATGCGGATGAGCAGCTATTGATTTATATTCCATTTATTCAAGTTATTAAACTGCACTCTATTATCATTAAAGGGCCTGAGGAGGAAGGTAACTGCTTTATTTCTAGATTTCTACTTTTTTACTGCTAATTATATACCAGAACATGTATTACGAAAGCCACATTTCAATCACCTGCTGGACTTCTCCGACGATATTATTGCGTGAATTTCTGTTTGAAATTTATTTTGGCAATATTATTTTGTCAACTAAGCCTACTGTTCTATCATATATATAACAGAAACAGTTAACTAACGTCTAATAATATTTAAGGAAGTTTTCACCTACATTTACCATTTGACGTTCAAAAGATTCTTGGCCTTTGGATCCTCAAATTTCAACTTCTGTAGCATCTAAGTCCATATTTATGGATTTTCATCCAAGAAATTTGTTGATTGATCATGTGAGTCAACAGGCTTATTTAGTTGTTCTTGTTACCTGCTCATTCTAGGTTAGCAGCTGTGTGGAATCTCTGGACATCTAGGTTGAGATTTAATGAAATAACATATGATATAGGTTTCGTATGAAAGAAAGTGTAAACCAATCAGATAAGATTATATGAGAATTTGTCGCCAGATTAAAGCATAATATCACTATTGAAACATTAGTTCACAGACTAAGTTTCAGGTTGCCTATGACGCCCTCTTTAAATTATGGATTAAAGGGAATGCATGGAGCAGAAGGAGAGTAGGAAAGTTTGGTATTCTTATTTAACTAATGGGGAGAGAAGAGCAAGGAAGGGATGAGGATGGAAAGGATAGGCCTAATAGTGTTTGTAAATGTGATACTTTTATGCCTATAATATCCTTTTATTTCCAAGCTGTCTTATTCTGTGACTGATTAATTGGGTATAGAATGGAAATAATGTGTAATTGTTATTGATCCTTTCGTTTTCTTATAGTTATACATAGAAGATAAGTAATGACAACCATCTCATGGTTTTCTACATTTGCCTTCTATATACTGACTTTTTATTTCTGTTCATGTCATCCCGACACACACTCATTTTCTCACTCACTACCCTGTTTACTCGTCCCATGCTAGGATGAATGTTATCTGTTCTCTTGATTTGATTGCATCTTTGGCCAATACCCTTTGCAAATGATCCGTGTTTATTCTTACAATTATCTGACAGCACTTTATTTCTGGATTTAATCAGCTATTGATTTTAAGTTTTGATTCAAATCCGAGTGCTGGTTATTTTCCAGGTCCTAAAACTGTGAAACTTTTTGCTAACAAGGAGCATATGGGATTCAGGTGATGTTTGAAGTTTAATTATTTATTTTTATGTTATTTTTTGGTTGGACTTGCCTTTGTTAACTTCTTTTTTTCTTCTGATATTAAACGAGAATTGTTAATATATGCAGTAATGTCAATGACTACCCTCCAAGTGACACTGCTGTTTTGTCAGAGGATAATCTCAAGGTGACTTTCAGCGCTTAAGTGCGGTAGTTGTTGTAGTCAAAATTGTCACCATATCATGCTAAATGTACTGCATCCCTGCAGGGAAAACCAGTTATCTTGAAGTATGTTAAGTTTCAAAATGTTCGCAGGTATGTTCGTTGTCTCTTGCCATTTTCATCCTAACCTGATAGTTTCAGGCTTCAGAATGGAATTTCTGACTAATTATTCTTAATCAGTTTAACAATTTTCATTGAGGATAATCAATCTGGTTCAGACATTACAAAAGTTCAGAAGATTGTTCTCTGTGGAACAACGTAAGTGTCTCATTTCCCTTTTGTTTTATTTCTATTTTCTACTCTTTGCTTAATCATGTTTCCGTTGGATGATTGAATTCTGGGTAATGTTTTACATGGAATATCTTACGAATGGATTTGGCATGTTGATGAACTACTAAAATTTCATCAAGGATCTATTTTGTTATCCTTTTTCCTTTCAGGACTTGGGCATATTAAGCTGAAAGTCTTTTTTTTTTTTGTTGGATTCATTTGTTCTTTTATCACCATGTTCTGACTGAAAAGATTCTTCAAATGATCAGAGATGAAGCTCTATAGGCTGTATTTTTTGATATTGCTAATTGATCTAAATTGGAATAAGTGACGCCTTGAGAGATTTGTGAAAAGATTGAAATCATCGCGATAGATGGTGCTGGATGGGATGGCATGTGGGCTGTTTGGCTTGAATTCAGGGGGGTCATATGATTTGGTTATTAGCAAGTGTAGAACCTAAAAATATTAAGTTAATCACGTGGTTTAACAGCAGGTCAGTTATTTGGTTTAATGAGTTAACCTTCAACCTAAAATCACATAGAATGGAGAAGGATCCTTCTCCATTCTATGTGATTTTAGGTAACCTGTTTTTCTAGATTTACTATCAATGCTAGCCTCTTTAAATTTTGTTTGTACGCTTCCCATAGTGCACACAAAATTGAGGATTTTCACCGACATTTTAGTTTTTCTGTGCTTCATTTTGTGTATAAGCTTAATCTGCTTAAATGTGTAACTGTGTTGTGTTATTAGGTATTGAATGTTTCATAATTTTATTCATGGTGGATGATTTTTGTTATGGTGTGCTTCAACTACAGGGTGGACACTACAGACATGAAAGGTTTGAAAAAGATCGAGGATCACTGAATCTGGAATTAGCAAAAGGGATGACATTTTTATTTCATATCGAAGCATCATTAGCATCTCTGTCTCTCATTAAAACAAGTGCAATGAGATCTTTTCTTGTTAAAGAAAAATCTAGTGACATACTTAATTCTTGCTTAACACATGGTGAGTTTTGGCATTTGTACCCTTTCCAGATAGACATGCTATGTTGATTTTCAGTTCATGTTTATTGGAATTACAAGTCGTTAAATAACTGTTTTTCATTTTAGCCTGTTTGTGGCACCTTTGGGATAATATATCACATAGATTAGAAGGTACTAGATAATATTAAGAAAGAAAACGAAGCTGAAAATTATTTTTTGTATTTCAGTCCTGACTGTGCTGTGTACAAAATGCCCAGTGCTTCGAGCCATTCTGCTATACCTTTAAGTTGGTGATCGTAATGGAATTTGATGTGCCGGGTTTGTTGGCTCGGTTTGAAGGGCTATTTGTTACGATAAACTGCCTATATTATAGTGAAATTACTACAGTGTGGTTGTTATGTTAAATAGTTAGTTGCCTCAGAAAATTAGTGCAATTGAATCGAAAAGTATGCTGTAGGAGATGTTCTAGATGCAAAATGGTACCATTAGTCTTCGACTTATGGACTTAATTGTAATTTCATTCTTGACTTATTTCTTTTGACAGTGTTGTCTTCCAACTTTTATGGTAGCATCTTTCCTTGATGATGAATTTTGTAATGCCTCAAATTTTAAATAAAAGTCCATATTTGGATTAAAATCTAGATTTTAATTTAAATTAAAGTCGATAGTTAAGAAAAATGATATTTGTACACCATGGGGTGTACACTCGGGTTTACACCCCCTCCCCCCAATGGAGTGGCCCACGGGACTATAATCCCAAGCGTACACCCTTATGAATGTGTAGCATCTTCCGACATTTAATTTTAACCAAAATTACATATTTCATTAACTTTTAGCAAAATATATTAAAATTTTAATCTCCACAAAATTGGGGCTTTCTAATTGTTTATAACATAATCAAAATAACACTGAAATATGTTAAATTTAATGCTTAAAGCTAAACTATAGATTAATCAAACTTAAAATAGTATTCAAATTTCAAAGCATGCTTCTCGAAATAAATTAAATTTCATTAATTACAGGCTCATAATTAGTTTGATAAGAAATAAAGACAACTGAATCATGACATTATCAAGAAAAAAGTCCCTTCGCATATGCTTCACTGCCTCGCCATCCCTCCAAACTGAACCAAAGTAACCTGAAATTGGTAATAAAATAGTAAAGAATATAGAATTATGCTGGACACGTGCACCAAAATGTGATACAAAATTATCAACATAAAACTCAATAATTCATACTATCATTTTATCAAGAACAATTAGTGATCAAGTGATAATTCTAGTCAACATAATTTTGTATAATTCTAGAGAGAATATCAGAGGAGTCTCTTTTTCATTTCACAGAGGACTCGAAGGTTAATTAGCATTTTTGTGAAAAGATGTATGTAAAAAAGATAATACAGTAAAAAGACAGTTAACTTGCACGTTTTGATTTTCCCCACTTTATTGTTAAAAAGTTTAAGTGTGTGTTTGATATGTTGTTTTCAATTTTGTAAAACAATTAAAACATGTTTGATCTCATATTTATAGAAATGTATTTTCGAAAACAAAGCTAAACTTATAATATAAAACTCAAAATACGTCTTTGACGTTTTAAATGTTTTCAATGAAAACTCTAAAAATATGAAAAATAATCGTTTAAATAAAAAAATTATTCAAAAAATAAATATATAATATTCTAAAAGAATATAGTTCAAAGATTTTAAAATATATAAAAATTGCAAATTTTAACTAATGAAAAATAAAAATAGTTCAACCTCTTAATGATTATTTAATAAAAAGTCTAAAAATGGATATTTAAATGAACACATAAAAATTCTCAATCCATGTCACTAATTGAAATTATATCTTATCTTTTGCCAACATAATATATTATTATTTTTATTTTAGTTTTAGTTTTATAGCAAAAAATAAATATTTGTAAGATTCACCAAATTTAAACTGTATATATTATTTGATATCATATTATATTAACATAAATTGTTCTATTTTATTGAATAATCAAATTTTATAAATAAAATATCATAAAATAATTTTTTAAATTCCAAACCAAAAATGGGTTTTGAGAAATATTTTTTTTGAATGACAAACTAAACGCGTTTTTAGTAATTTTAAAACGGATACTCAAAACAAAAATCTAAATATGAATTCAAAATTAAAAACTAAATACAAATCAAAAGGCCCCTAACTTTTGGTTCAAAAGATCACTGCCTCTTATTTTTTATCTAAATAAATAGCAAACATATAGAGATTATAGCACAAGTTTTCGTTTATTTTTATTTGCTATATAGACTCGACCAGAATGCAGTTACATGAAAAGAATAGTGAGCATAACTATTTTAATATACATCGCACAAAATTTATTTATTTGTTGTTTTGTGTCGTCTGTGTATTGCAAATTTGAATTATGGTAACGATGTCATGTATTTATTTGAAAAATGATGAAGGCTGAAATCCCCAAGTGTAATGAAATCACCAAACAGTTAAGGGTCTGAATAGTGGAGGAAGGAGACGAACAGTTGGACTTGGAGAGTTAGGGAGGCTCCAATGGCAGTGGGGAAGGGAAAGCTGCACTTGGAGAAAAAAGACAGTCCTATGTTAAATGCACAGTTAAGGGTATTTGTGACTTGTTTTTCGCTAAAGGATTTAAAAAAAATGATCCAATTCTAGTAGACTCGAGGCCTGACGTGCACCTACGAGGCTACGACACAATCCACCATTAAGGGCAACCGGGACTTTTTTTCACTAAAGGATTTAATAAGAAATTTAAGCGTTAGAATCTTATATCCTACCCCATTAAGACACAGAATAATTAGATAAAATAAGTTAGTGTATTTTCATTCTGGGCTATTTAGTAATTATAAAAATAAAATGGTAAGAAAAAAGAATATGGAAAGGTTACCAGTGAAGTAAATGTTAAAGCATTTAAGGAAATGTTAAATATGGTGTTTATCCAGCAAATGTACATAAATAGTTCAAGAATAATCGTTACTCTACTGCTCATTGCTGCTCTCCTCCCCCGCGTATGCACTTCTGCAGATGTTCCAAGCTAGCAATTCTCTGCATAGAAACTGTTCTTCCCCTCTTGTTCCCCAAGCCTGCTGCATCATTCTGTTGTACATTATTCGCTGGTGTAATAGCTACCAAACCATTTTGGAACCCAGGATCATGAGTCGATGTGGCACTTTGATAATAGCACTGCTTTGTGTCATCTTGCACTTGTACTGGTACAGAAGCATCTGCTGATGTGTCCGATGGACTACAGGCAAAAGATGGCATGCCCATTGTGGATATCTCGGACATAGATTGGAATGGTGGGCTTAAACCGGTTACTCTCTTAACAGTCTCTTCTGCCATTTTTACCTGTTTGAGGAAGACAAGACGTATCAGTTATTTTCTGTAAACTCAACGTCCAATGAATACCCTTATCGAGGTGAAAGTAACCTGAATCCAACATGAGACTTGATAAGAGAGTACTGAGTATATTTATACAGCATTTTGGACTCATTTAATCCCTATAACTGTGGGGACCAACAAGAACACTAAATAGATTGTTACACTAAGATACATGATATGAAACGTCTGTCGCTAGTGCCTAAGTTCATGAAGTATAAGATAAATTTAGTAGATTACTATGTAGTTTTCAGATTCACGGTTAACCTTACCTTGGCTCTCAATGTCTCAGCATCAGCTTTCAGAACTCTGTTGTCAACAGCTGTTTCATTGTACTTTTGGTTTATATCAGAGAGTTTCTTTAACAAATAAGAGTTTTCAACTCTTAATTGAGAAACCTGAAGCATGAGCAAAATCTTAATAAACGATCATATGATTACAAAGGTAAATGAAGATGATGAGAGTTGAGAAATATACCTCCGTCTCAAGCTCAGTCAAATGGGCCTGCTTTCTTCTTCTCGAGCGTCTGGCGGATTCTCTGTTTGAAAGCATTCTATAAAAGAAAACAATACAAATTTATAAAACTGATTCTGCTATTAAAATAGTGTACATCAAGAATCACACAGAAGTTTAGAACATAAAATAGATTTGAAACCATTAAAAGGCATGTGATGGGTGCACTGCCATTGAGAAAATAATACGCCACATACAAAAATCAAGAACCTTGTTAATGTTGAAAGTGAGTTACATCTATTAAAGCATCTCCGATGCTAATGTAGACTACTTTAAAAAAATTGCCGCATAAGCAAACTAGACAGTGTCTTAAAAAAATCCTCTCCAATGCTATCTGCTGATGTGGCAAAAAACACACACATGCTGTCTAGAGCTCCTTCTAGATTTAGAGGCTCTATTAGACATGCCGATTCAGCAATTTTTTTTTCTGTTTCTGTTTTTAGAGCATTGCATTCTCTCTCTTCTTCTCCATTTCATTTATTTTTGTTTTAGGGTAGATCAAGATGCTGTCATCCCCCTAGCACGACAAATACCATGTGGTGTACTTAATCTTGAGTGATTGCCAACTTTCTCGAGCAATTAGCAACTAAAAGATTAACCTGTTAATACCTCCTTACACGCTTTGCATCTGCAGGGTCCATATTCTGAGTTGTTTCAGTTTCTCCATCACCTTCATCATCATCTGATTGTTCTCCAGATGAGCCACTTGTTGTTGACTTCACCTGAGCCCCGCCAGATTTCTTAGGCATTGCCGGCAGGGAAGATAACCCACTTCCACTGGCAACCTTATCTTGTCGCTTTGATGAATCGTGCCCAGCTCCTACCAAATGATAAAGAACCAAACAGAAAAAAATGTCAGCAATGGTTCTCGATTTTCGGAGTACATTATACACCAAATTATTGTTTATTCTTACCAATAGATTAACTCCAGGACGGTACAATGAGGCTCATGGAGTATGATTTGCAGTATTGTGTTATTTTACACATCAAAATTAGAGGTGTTCATCACAGATAAATATGACTTAATTCAGAAAAATGCTGCTATCAAGAGGTTCTGGAGAATAATGATTGCCTACACACAAGTGAAAGACTTCATTTACATGCACAATTTCCGGATCTGTGGGGAAAATTAGTAAATTATGACATCAATCGGTCCATTGACAACTAAATCCAACAGATACGCCGTCAATATGTGTAGGTGAAGCTGAAGTATCATAGAAGCAGATATGAGGCTCATCATGCTTTGCAAGGTAAGCTGTATTCTAATCCAGACATGTGTTCACCAATAAACATAAGAATGTTATGGTTGACTTTTAAAGATTGGACTGAGAGAAATTCAACCAAGAGATTCATGCACACAGATCATGGATGTTTGTAGCAG